TGACAGGAAAAATATGAATTTATTGCAGCAACAACCAGTTATGTCTGAGGTTGGGAGTGGGAGTAATTTCTGTAATGTGTGGCAGATTGTAAAGTAGCCCTGTTGTGAATCATTTCTTTGATTTTGAGCCAAAGATACTAACCAATAACCATTAGTGTCAGAATGTCAGATACAAAACGCTGAGACAGAAAGCTGAAGACGTTCCCACAAGTCTCAAGCATTAAATATGGATTTATGATGATAAATATTTAGCTAAGTTAATTACAATCCTGCCACTGCCAGCTGAGATGTTAGCCCCAAAATCAAAGCTGGCAGGGAACTTCTATTCCCAATCTTGGCTTTCTATTTCAGTCTTGGATCCATTCCTCCAGGGATAAGTCATCAGAAAAGAAGTTTGTTCCATTCTCCACTGGTACTTTTAAAGCAGCCAAATGCTGAATTATCAACATGGATATAGAGGTTAGTTTCATGAATTTTTATTTTTTTGATGAAGTGCATTTAACTATCTTAACCCTTTGATGCATAATGGTCACTACAGTGGACAGGTACTTAAAATTGTTATTTATTTATTTTTGCTATTAAGCACAGCTGTTGAAAACTTTATTGCATTTGAACCCCTCCATTTGTACTTCAGTAAGTCAAGCCAACATATTTCATGTTCAGAATGCACACTGTCCACTGAGGTGGACATGTAATAAATTATTTGTAAATTAAATTTTACAAAAAATATGTAAATATGAAATTTGTTTCATTCACACCTAAAGATGAATGAAAAAAATTGTTTAAAAAATCATGGTTGAAGATTTCATAATTCATGCATCAAAGGGTTAATTTCCACTAATAACTGATAATTTGGGAATAATCTGAGATTGGAGATTTTAACTGGTGTTGTATAATTTAAACTTGAAGTTCCATTAGTCATCACTGGTGAAATTCATCATCCATTTGACCCATTGGAGCAATGAGCGGCAGCAGTAGGTGCGCTTGGTAATTATTTGATGGTTTAACCCCCCAATCCAACCCCTTAAAGCTGCTTGTCAAGCAGGGAGGCACTGTGTCCCATTTTACGACCCGACTGGTATTTGAACCCCGATCTCCTAGTCCCACGGCGAACACTCTACCACTAGGCCACTGAGAAGGTGTAATTTGATCAAATTCTAATTCAAAAACTGTAAAAAAGATACGTTTAAAGGACCATTATTAAAGTGATAGTGCAAATGCGTTTTTCTTCATGAGTATGATGAGTTTTTGAAGAGGTGCAGTGAAGGAAAATGCTAAACAAGATACAGGTACTGAGGGAGTATCTCACTCTTTTGTGACTCAATTAGCATTTTAATGGTCAAATTGCCATTTTGAAAAAAAAAACGGTAAGGTAATTGCATGGTTGATTCGACCAAATGATGGTGACTCATGGTGGAGTCTAGAGACACATTATCTCAAATTTAAACTTGCACATATTAAAATGACATTTAATATAGAACACTCTGTGTTTTGTGACTCGGCTGTGATGACAGGTAAGTCACAGAAGTGATTACAGCACCAAGTGAGGAAGTATATGAATTAGGGATGTTCCAATCATGTTCTCTTTGCTCCCAATCTGATTCCGGGCCATTTGATTTTGAGTATCTGCTGACACCGTGTCCTGATCAGATACTTTTCAAAAAATCATTACAATAAGAAGAAAACACAACCAAGTTGTCCTGTTAGTTTCACTTTGACTTGTTTGGGAAGTACACTGATTAGAAAAAAAGTGTTTAAATTATGAGTAGCAGCATTGCTCTTATTTCAAGTTGTTTACTCCCTCAATGCGCAGCTACATTTGGCGATGCACGTTCCCACAGCGGAGCAGGGTCTTGGGAGGCAGGGTAACTTTTCCCTGCATGACACCTGTAGCTCCGGTGCTGCAGGAGAACAAGAAACAATGTTTTGCAGTCTGTTGTTTCTCTTTGTTTATTAGCGTATCTTTCTCTGTCAGCTGGCTTCTCGTCTTTGTGTGTGTTCACTGTGAACTGGGACTGTTAGTGGCAAACTGGGAATTGATGGGGACAGGTGAAGGGAAAAGCCGAAAGTGAGAAAAGCAGCAAATCATGGAACATTTTAGCTTTCCTGAGGAGACACGTTAGCTTTGTGTTAGCCTTTTGCTAACAACTGCATCTTAGTGTCTGAAGTGCCTGCCGTAAATTGTGTGACGTGTTGTTTTCCTACAAAAAAACAAATAGTAAAGGAACTAACTGAAGTTAAAACTAAGCCATTGTTATTCCATTTCTATTTCTATCTCAGGATGAATTTTTAAAAAGTCATGTTTGTTTGAAAAGGTTCAATCCAAGCTTTTTCTCCCGATGCGATTCTTTTAAAATCACATGATCTGGCCCAATTTGTGATCACATGATTAGATCAGAGAATATAAATAGATGCTAAAATAACTGACAGAAAAATACATTTAGTCTTATCACACAGCGTGTCATGGTCTAATGGTTAGATAGGAATAAAGCCAGAACAATTAAGTCAAATGTGTTTCCGTTAATTTGTGGTTTTATTTCTACATTTGTGCAAAAAAAATAAAAATAAAATACTGTGAGTCATGAAGTCTTGATGAACCATATCAACTAGCTGTTGTTCAGCTGAGGAAGTGTGCCACAAAAACACATTAAATCTGTTTTCTTCTTAAAGTTCCCAAGTATATTTAACTTAATATAACAAAAGGTTAAAGATAATAAAACATCCATCCTTCATCATCTGATCTCTGGGCAATCAGGCAGGGAACACCCTGGACAGGTGGCCAGTCCATCGCAGGGAAACACAGAGACACACAGGAAAAAGAACCATGCATGCACACACTCACATCTAAAGACAATTTAAAGAGACCAGTCACCCTGACAGTCATGTTTTTGGACTGTGGGAGGAAGCCGGAGTACCCAGAGAGAATCCGCGCATGCACAGGGAGAACGTGCAGAGAGACCCCAGGCTGGGATTTGAACCCAGGACCTTCCTGCTGCAAGGCAACAGCCCAATATTAAAACAACACTGCTTAAATTAATTTAACGAACAAGAAATCAACTAAATCTATCAGATGCATTAAATGTCTTTGATTCAGCCTAAGCATTGTTCTTGTGTGTTTGCATGCCTCATTTGCAGGACTTGAATCGAACTTTTAACACTTCAAAGACAGTAGTTGGTAGATCTTTAAGTCGCACTCCGCTTCCTTTCTGTTTCAACATAAATTGGTCATTAAAGTAACTTTTATTCCCAGGAAGAACTAACTGGGACTTAAAATTGCTCCTCACCTGGTATTTCAATTTAATCTGAGAGTGACAGTGAAGCACCAAGCACCAAGAGGGAGAAAAAAAGTCAAGAAAGTTATAATCTAAGGGAACTGGAATCTATTTTTAATTAAAAAACACAGATTTCACGGAAAGCATGCATGCTGCAAAATACAAAAACATCAGTATGTGTCACTGTGTGTTTATAAAAGTGCAAATTCATAGAAAGTGGTATTCTGCACTTCTGTGTGTTTTTGACGTAGACTGTAAGCAGAGACCAGAATGTCAGGAAGGTTTACATTAGTCAGCAGATGCAGTGGGCCACATCATTAGTCACTCTGACACCCTCTTCTGGCCTCGGCTTTATTGACGAGACAAAGCCCAACAGCTAACCTTCACTAACACACACATTAGGGCAAGCACAGCCACACTAACGCTGGCTCTGATTCTTTCTTGGAAGCAACAGGAGACTGATTTAGCATCTCATGTGAGAAGTGACAGGTACGATGACTGAGTGTCGAGCTAGGATGTATGGTAACACAAGCTGCTGCGTGTCCTGATTATTAACCAGCAGAGCAGAAAACATCCACAGATCAATGGTTATTTGTTTATCTGTAGACCAGACAACCAATCCAGTAACAGATATGTGCATGACACCAGGTCTTCTGTGCAGGTTATGAATGGCAGCGCATGATGACTGGATGCCAAATGTGTCACAGCAATGAGCTCAGAGCCGTGTATGGTCTCAGTGACTCTGACATTTAGCAGGATGCTGCGATTTATCAGCTTCTCTGTCTGAGTCACACAGAAAACGGGGCAGTCATAAAGCACAACACCATTAGGCTTAATAGCACCACATCACACAACTGTCAGTGTGTGAGAGAGTAGTAATGTATGATCACATGAAAATTAAGAAAAACATTTAGAAAGAAAACAGCTAATCAGTGCAACAAAACACTAATTTATTTATTTATTTTTTGTGAATTTCTATTAGAGCCCGTTTACAGCCGCCTGTGCTAATGGGTTAATTAGGCCTTAACGGTTCTGAAATGGCCTTAAAACTTTGTCTGCTGACAACAATAATCTCTGCTAGTAATCTAATGCAAATAATTGAATCTTGTTTAATAGGCAGAATTCTGATTATCTGCATCACAGCCTTCACCTCAAAGCATTTCAAGGTCAGCAACCAGAAACTCAGAGTTGAGTTAAGTAGGAGTGGTGCTTCCTGTATGCAGAGTCCCTCTCGGTCGACTCTGAGAGTATTTCTGCTAACCACAGGGCACATCGGAACCAGAGGTAATGGTATAATCTGTTCCTCCATTTCCCTTCTAAGGTTTTGTTTCACTAAGATGCGTTCAGCTTTCTATCCCCTACTTTTTGTCTGTATTCTACTTATCAGTGATGTTCGAAGGGTTCGCAGTGGCAGTCGTTACTGAGAGGGAGTATCTGCTTTTCCTTGAACAACGTGATCCTGAAAAAAGCAACGCTGTGAGCAGAGATTGCTGAAGAGCCTTTTTTTCTGTTTCCTATAAATTTGCGAAGTTTAAAGTAAGTGTCCTGGACAACATGGATCTAACTTTTGAAACACTTCTGAACTACAAAAATCACATTTTACGTAAAACCGAATGCATTTATAGATCCGTGTGCACCCTCGCACAAAAGCATGCATTCACACATAAACGTGCACACCAACAGAGCAAGTCAAAATCAGAAAAAAAGAAGTGCCTGCTCTGCTCTTACCCGAGTGTTGTCATAGTAACGATGGTGTACCAGAAGGAGGCAGGGATGCTGGTAAATTTGCTGGAGCTTGAACCCTTCTCTGCGTAGAACATGACAGTGGCAAAGATAATTATGGCCATTGTAAGGGAGAAGAGCAGAAAGCCCAGCTCTGAAGCACAGCTCTTTAGCGTGTAGCCGAGGATGCGCAGGCCCTGCGAGTGGCGGGAGAACTTAAAGATTCGGAACACACGGAAAACCCGAAGAGTCACAAAAGCCCCGCTCACGTCCTCATTGTCGGTCATCACCAGTCCAATGTAGTAGGGTAGGATGGCCACCACGTCGATGATGCTCATGACAGATCTCATGAAACGGTAGCGGTTGGGCGCAGCAAACAAGCGCATCAGGTACTCCACGGTGAAGATCATCACACAGGCTGTGTCCATGCAGAAAAAGGCCACGGTGTAGCGCTCACCACATGGCACTTCCTTCTGGTTGGGTGCCGAGCCACAGGGCACCGTTTCCACGACATTAGTGATGACGGAGACAGCAATGAAGAAGCCAGTGACATAGTAGAAGACCAAAGCCATTGTTGAAGTGTGAGGGTTTTCAAAGGCCCGCCACATGGTCTCTCTGAAGGTCATGTTAGGTAACTTAGCATCTTTGTTGTCCTCCTGGTCATCCATGAGGCGCTCTGCATTCTCCCTCTTCCTGTCTTTGTACTCTTCATAACAGCAGTCTCCTATGATCTCTGGAACGATACCAAAGAAAGCCAGCTCCTCGTCATAAGAGGAGATGCACTCGTAGCGCGGATAGTGGAGCTTGCCTGTGCGATAGAAGTTGAGGACACTGCGAAACACGTCGGGATCACGATCAAAAAAGTACTCTTTGGTGTCTTCGTTGTAGAAGAACTCCTTCTCAGAGCTGCCGAGGAGAGTGTCTGGATAACGATCCAGCGTGTTCCTCCAGGTCTGGAAGCGCCGTCCACTAACGTTAAGAACTATCAGCTCATCCTGTCTCTTGTTCTTCTCAGCAGGCGCAACAGGCATGGGCAAATTGGCCACAGGCATCCAGCCAATGGCTGCAGCCCGGGCAAATGGAAGCCATGCCGCTACTCCCGCCGCCATGGTGTCTCTGGCTTGGGGCGTAGGGGGGAACAAGTCCAGCACCTTCACAACCAGCTTGACTTCAGCTTATTCAACATCTGGAGGAGAGAGAGGGACTCTTTAGTTCAATTCAATTCAAAAATATTTTATTAATCCCAGAGGGAGATTAAAGTTTCAGTACACACATTTCAGCGATCAGACATACATGGGCAAGACACATGACAAGAATTGGTTACTGTGGTCATTCGCAACCCGCGTCGTGCTACTGTAACAGTCTTGTGAGAATGGGAAGCATGAAATTTATTTTTTAATAGATAAAGGAGAAAACTAATATCTCAATAAAAATATATGATTGGGTAAAAAAGTCAAATCCTGAAAGTGTGTAATTAGTAGACTATCAGGTAAAACTACATTCTAACATTGCTCATATGAAACCTACCCTATAAACGCAGATCTGTTTGATACAGTAAGTTTCAGTGGCACAAGAACAAGCTGTACATCCAATTTGACAGACTCCTTTCACTTCAGGGTCATAAATCTCTAAACACCTGTGTGGAGTTGTAACATTATATAAGTTTAAAACATTAAATCAAGTGAAAAGACGACAAAACGGGCTACACTACTTGCTTTACATGAAACTTTAGTTCATTTAAATTGGTCTTTTTAGGTAGAACCCACCAATGGCATACCAAACCTGTTGAGCTGCGTACTTTCAATAAATAAATAAATAAATATTCGTCATGATATAATAAAAAAGTAGAAATACCGGCATTAGATTTTTTCCCTTCCAGATTAACAGATTAATGAAGCTAGTTAACTCTTGAATTTGAGCATCTTGGATCATTTAGCTGCTGAAACCTGAAGGCGCAGTAATCTACAGCGACGCAGAACAGAACAGGTTGGTATATGAGCTCCTAAAACGTAGAAATAAAATAAAACTCACCGGTTAAAAATGTTTCATCCAAAGATACCCGACCGTCGCCTTCAACTCTTCACCGTCGCTTTTGGATGTTATATCTGAAAACGTCTGGAGAATGAAAAAAACACCAGGAGAGAAGTTATTCAGCGGAGAAAAGGACGTGGCATAGAGCTGAAGGGACCGCAGAAAAGTACCAGCTGGGTTCATTCCGGTTCCTTAACGCCAGCGGATCCATGAAGAGAGGACTCCGGCGCCAGGACCGCGTTACGTTGGCTTTTCGCGACGAGTGGTGAGAAGAGACGGAGGAGGAGGAGCGCTCTTCCTCCATCTCGTTCGCTCTCTCCCCTCCTCTGCGCAGGGGGGATTCACGGTGAACATAAATCTGGATTAAAAACCATGAAAATAGTTAAAATGGACTACCTTTCATCCTTTTTCTAGAATACAAATCAAGTAGCACCGTTTTTCAGACAAATAACTTGTTTACTTATCAACAGCGTTTGCGCGTCTGCACAGGTCATATCAACAGGGGCGTAGCTAAGATATCATGGACCCCTTTTGTTAGAATTTACTGGCCCCCTTTCCTTAAATGAACAAAAAAGTGTTACCTTATAAGATTTAGTCTTGGTGTTTACTTATCTATCTTTCAGTAATTAAACAAACATTACGGAGGAACAATTTAACTTCATTTGAGAGTCGTCAACGACAAAACTCCAAGTGGCAAAGGGTTACACAAGATCTTGAACTATTGTGCATTATTGCAGAAGTGCTTTGCACAATTTTGTTTGAACAAAACTGCTATAACTCAGTGATCACTCATATTCTTAGTTAAACCTGTGTAATAAGAGGCAAATATGATATGAATTAATTAAAGGAACCTTTAATAGCCTACAATTTGAATCCACTTGAGGTGAAACAGAAACATTTTTCATGTGTCAACACAACTTAACTGAAACATGATGAATTTGAAAGTGTCATTTTATGTATTTATATTTTGCTAATTGGCTGTTAATTGCTCTTGAAACGTGATAAGTTAACATTAGCAAAGATGTTTAAAAAAGCATGATTTCACTTAAGGAGTGCACATTCTTTGGGACCTCAAAGCCCCAATGTGTAAAAACATTTGATTCCTTAGCGCCACACAGTTCAGAGAAGGTATTGTAGCCACGGTAGCCCAAACACATCAAAAAGGCAATGTGTCATTGCGGCAGGGCTCGCACGGCAGCAGGGAGAGATAGACACTGCAGCACTGACAGCCATTTGTCCCCAAAAAGGTTAATGTCTTTGTTTCCTTGTGATGGACTGATCTGTCCAGGGTGTCCCCAGTCTGTTGAACATTACTGCAGCTAGATACCATCTGGATGGCCCGAAACAGGAACAAAAATTGACTTATGAATATTTGTTTCTCTCTGGAATGTTTAGCAATTAAACTAATTTTTAAGAACACTCAGGTTATTTTAAATCCAGATCACCTGCACTAAACACATTTAATTTTGGGTGTAAATTTTAAGAACTATATTTAATTTCTCTAGAGATCATTGGAGACAGAATATATACTGTTACCACATTTTACTCAGTGTCTACAGCTGCAGATATTAAACTTCTCTGTGTGCAATCTTACTAACAAAAACATAAAGATCCAAGGTTTGTGGTAGGTGGGCATCACTGGAGCAAACATCAACTGTAGGGTTTTGAAAATTAAAAGTTATAGGTTGGATATTTTTTCTGCCTTTGAACCATAGTCTATATAATTCGATTCAAAGATGTATAATAAGTAAAAATTTCTGTAATTTATACTTTTACTGGACGACATTAATCAAGCCTAAAGGTTTTCAGCATATTCATTTAGGTTAAAGGTAAAGCATTAATTGGAAGTACAATAATTTAAATCTGAATATGCAAATTCAGACAATACGAATGGCTTTGCTCCCACATTAATCAGCACTTTTGCAGAGCAATATGCAGTCCTAATTGAGTCAGCAGGGATCCTACCCCTGTGATTCATAGTCTACTGGAATATCAATAGCATCACAGCTAACAGGCGGAGCTCAGCACATGCAGTTATCTCATTTTGGTCACGAAAATACATGTGCTCAGTATGAAACATTAATGCTGCTGCACAAACTATATTACACACCGTAAAGTCACAATGGGATGTTTATAGACCCAAGTTTGAAAATGACAAGTTGCAAGTCACTGTTATTTACACATAGAGACACACACACACACACACACACACACACACACACACACACACACACACACACACACACACACTTGTTTATGCTTTTGTACCCCTGTATAGCTATCCTAAGAGACAGATTTTTTCCTCCTCCTTTGACCCAGTCTAGTCCCTGACCACAAACTGGCATTTTAGAAAAACAGAAAATGGTCAAAATGACCTCACCTTATGAGAAATATACTGCACTCATTCAACTGGCTGTCACAGGAACTGAAGTTTAGCAACGAATGCATGCACACGCTAGGGGCTAAATGACTTTTTTTTAAGTCGATATTCAAGTAATGAAAATCTAGTTGACTTTGACTAATCATTGATGATGTTATTGAAGCGGCTAAAGCTGACGATGGGTGACCAAGCGTTTATTTCCGACGCACGTCAGGAGGCGACGCTCTGGCACAGCGCGTCGTTTTTTTTACACCCGTGGTAAAATGGAGATTTCACCGAATTGTAACCTTTACCCTTTTGCTATTTAACCTTCCCCTCACCCCACCCTAACCTTTTCCCAGTATGTCAGTCTAAATTTTCCATTAAGCGTGTTTGAGAGGAACGATGAAACGTGAAACAGCTTTGCATGTGCAATCTGGCTAAGGTTAGGGTGGGGGTGAGGGGGAGGTTAAAATGCAAGAGCGTAAAGGTCACAATTCGGTCAAATGTACCTTTTACCGTGGACGTCAGATACCGACACTCTGGCACAGCACGTCACCTCCCGACGCACTGGGGCTCGTCACTACTGTCTTTTCCGAGGACTCCATCTTGTTGGTCATTATCACGTGACAGCGACTAGTCTATCAAAGGCATAAAAAGTCAATACAGAGAAGTGAAGTTGACTAGTCGACTAGTTTATACAACCCCTAGCACGCACGCACGCACGCGCACACACACACACACACACACACACACACTATTAAATCACCTAAACTCTTAGACACGTACAGCATGGAGAATGGCCTTTGCAAACAATAAGACTGTAAGTGATTACAATAATTTAAATGTCACTGAATAACAAGGTGGGTTGCTTTTCACGGTCAACTACTCTCCGTAATTATCTTTAGTCACCACAGTAACATTACAATGCAGACTCCTTGGTGCCATTCGGAGCTACAAGAAACAAACAAGCCATTGGGAATCAAGTGAGTGAACTGGTTTGTGCCACAGCCGTGCTAACTGGATTCCAGTCTATCTGACATGTTATACCATAATCCAGCATTTTTATGGCTTTGGTACTAATGATGCTAAATAAGATAATATTAGGGTGAGCTGACATCAGTTGGCCCAGAACTCTGCAGCGAGGCTCCTAACTGGAGCAAACAGAAGAGCACACATCACTCCTATTCTAATGTCTCTGCACTGGTTACCCGTTAACTTTAGAGTTCATTTTAGAATCCTGACTATAACTTTCAGGGCTCTACATGGTCAAGCTCCTCCCTATACTACTGAACTGTTAAAGCCTTATGCTCCAACCCGAGCCCTCAGGTCCACACACCAGAACCTTCTAGAAGTTCCAAAGAGCAGATATAAAAGTCGAGGTGATCGCTCCTTCCAGGCTGTTGCACCCCGACTTTGGAATGATCTTCCTTTATCCTTACGCAGCATCGACAGTCTGGACACCTTTAAAAAACAGACCCTTTTATTGAAAGCTGCTTTTACCTAAATCTTTTAGTTTCTTATTTTTAACTCCAATTTTTAATCTTTCATCTGTTTATGAAATTTTATAATTTTATGACTTATTTTTCTCTGATGTTGATCTGATTCTGTTTTGAGAGCATTATGATTTCATGACTTAGTTTTATTTTGTTTTTATCTATGTGAAGCACTTTGTGATTCCATGTCTGTGATAAGAGCTATATAAATAAAACTTACTTACTTACGTACTAACATGAAAAAGTTACTTCAGATTATGAGGAAAACCTTGAAAATGAACTCTTTTTTTCTCTCTTTTTGTTTTAGTATAAATTGGGCTTGATCCAAATCTTTTAATCTTCTCAAATTTTTTTTTTCCACACCGGAAACAAATCAAATAATGAATCCATGTGGTCCAAACAGACACCAGCACTTTGTCAGAGCAGTTTCTGTTTGCTAGCCCAAGACATGTTTCAAGTTAAAAACATTTTGGCTGCAGCTGAAAAGTCTAAAAATCTATACAGAACGTTGGTTACGTATTGTAACCCCAGATTCTATGAGTCTAGTCGCAGCCCTTAAGCGAGCTGCTATTGGAAGGGTGATCTCAGCATCAGCCAATCATGAAGAGCTTAAATGTACGCCCACCACGTGGGCACCCCTTGTGGGTTATATAAGTGGAGCGACTCCACTGTTCGCCTCCGATGGCTCTTAGTCCTAACAGAACCAGTGTGGCCAAGTGGCTTAAGGGCTGCGACTAGACTCATAGAATCTGGGGTTACAATACGTAACCAACGTTCTATTTCGTCTAGTCTTAGCCCTTAAGCGAGCTGCTATTGGAATAAAGCGCAGCTGGATGGGTTTACGCCACACTGGTTAGCTCAACCAATGGACACACCCAACATGTCTCCTTTTAGTGGGGGTCGCTCAGCCTCAGCCCAGGGCTTAAAAGGCTGAGGCAGCCAGAGAGAAGAGTGGGGCCACCACTAAAAAATATCATCCACAAGAGGATGAAATTCATTCAAGCAGGGCCGATGAGGTGCCATAATGCGTTCACTCAGCCTGCTGAGGTCCAAGCACTGAACGAGTGATGGATCCTGAAGACACATCTCGTAAATAAGAACGAGTAAAGGAACAGGGTGAAGCCCATGAAGCAGCCTGACAAATGACTTCCATTGACCCACCACTGTGGGGCACCACAGAAGAGGAAATCCCTCTGGCTGAGTGAGCCCTGAGTGTCTCAGGAGGATCCAGCCCCAATGATGTGTAAGCGAGTGAAATGGCGTCACATAGCCAGAGTCAAAGGCGCTGGGCCAACAGCGCTTGCCCAAGGGAAGACTCCCTGTAGTGCACAAACATGATTTGTGAGCGGCGAATCCCTGAAGTGCGTGACACATATCTTGCGAGCGCGCGCACTGGGCAGAGAAGATGGGAAGCCGCCTTCTCCTCAGAATTATGGGGAGGAGGGAAAAGTCCAGCCAAT